CTGAAATTGAGATAACTCCTTGTTAGGTGCCCTTGAGTTGCCTCCAACTCACAGCGACCCTGTGGACAACAGAATGAAACACTGCTAGGTCCTGTGCCATTCTCATAGTCCTTGCTATACTTGAACCCATCGTTGCAGCCACTGTGTCTATCTGTCCTGTTGAGGGCCTTCCCCTTTTCTCCAGGACCCCTCTACTTTACCAAGCATGATATCCTTCTCCAGGGAATGGTCCCTTCTTGAGCAGGTGATCAAAATAGGTACGATGAAGTCTGGCCATTCTCACTTCCAAGGAGCATTCTGACAGCACTTCCTTCAGGACAGATTTGTTCATTCTTCATTCTTCTAGCAGTGCATGGCATTTTCAGTATTCTTCACCAACACCATAATCCAAAAGCAAGAACTCTTCTTCAGTCTTGCTTATTCATTGTCAAGCTTTCACATGCGTATGAGGCAACTGAAAATACCATGGCTTGGGTTAGTGGCACTTTACTCTTCAAAGTGACATCTTTATTTCTTAACACTGTAAAGAAGTCTTTGCAGCAGATTTGCCCAATGCCATAAGTCTGATTTCTTAACTGCTTCTTCCATGGTGTTGATTGTGGGTCCAAGTAAAATGAAATCCCTGACAACATCAGTGTTTTCTCCATTTATGGTGATGCTGCTTATCAGTCCAGTTGTGAGGATTTTTATTTTCTTTATGTTGAAGTGCAATCCATTCTGAAGGCTGTAATCTTTCATCTTCATCAGTAAGTACTTCAAGTCATCTTCACTTTCAGTAAGCAAGGCTGTGTCATCTGCATACTGCAGGTTATTAATGAGTCTTCCTCCAATCCTGACGCTGCCTTCTTCTTCAAGCCCAACCTCTTGGATTATTTGCTCAGATAAAGATTGAGTAAGTATGATGAAAGGATACAACACACACCCTTCCTGAGTTTAAACCATGCAGTATACCTTAGTTCTGTTCAAAAGACAGCCCCTTGGTCTAGAGATAACTCTAGCTGGCTTCAGTGGTTGTTATGTGGATAAAATTAGTTAATACAATATTTATATTTAGATAATCTTTTTAAAATTAAATTTATAACTGGTTTCAGTGGTTACCCAACAAATAAAATCTGCATCCCTTTTTGAGAAAAGCCAATTACCTGGCCCCACCCCAGCCCCACCAAAGTGTGCTGGGACAAGCTCCCAGATGACTCTGATGCACCTTAAAGTCTGAGAAGCGCAGATCTAGGCCAGAGCTTCTCAGTCAGTTCCGTTGATGTCAGCTGCTTGATGAAAGATATAGACTATGGGGCCTCGCCCCCAGACCCACTGAACCCAAATGGATTGGGGTTGGTTCCCAGATTCCACATTTCTTGAAAGCCATTCAAGGGATACGTTTGAACACAAAATCACAGAGACCTCTTTAATTTACAAACAGGAAATCCTAGAACCCCAGGTGGGGAAGAAAGTTTTCCTGCAGGCCCTTAAGAGACTGTTAGGCTTTAAGGTTAAAACCCCTCAGGACCCTCTTCTGTCCTCAAGTACTCCTTTGGCCTCAGGCAAATCAACTCATTTGAATCTGACCACTGGAAACAAACTCCACTGCCACTGAGTGGATTACAACTCACAGTGACCCTTAAGGACATAGTAGAACTGCTCCACAGCGTTTCCAAGGCCATAAATCTTTATGGAAGCAGACTCCCTCATCTTTCTCTGGTGGAGTGGCTGGAAGATTTCAATGACCAATCTCCTCATCTGAAGTGGGGGCAAAAAAGTCATACCTACCCCTGTTTCAGCAGGTGGCATATGATGAAGACCCAATGGTACTGAAGGAAGAAGTTGAAGGTGCACTGAGGAATTGGTACAAAAAAAAAAGGTTCCAGGAAATGACGGAATACTCACTGAGATGTTTCAACAAACAAAAGCCATGTTGGAGGCACTTACTTTTCTGTGACAAGTAATTTAGAAGACAGCCAACTGACTGGAAGAGATCCATATTTGTGCCCGTTGCAAAGAAAGGTGATCCAATAGAACATGGAAATTATCAAACAATATCATTAATACCACATGCAAGTAAAATTTTGCTGAAGATTATTAAAAACTGATTGCAGCAGTATATTGACAGGGAACTTCCAGAAGTGTAAGCTGGATTCAGAAGAGGATGTGGAATGAGGGATATCATTGCTGACGTCAGATGGATCTTGGCTGAAATCAAAGAATACCAGAAAGTTGTTTACTTGTGTTTTATTGACTGTGCAAAAGCATTTAACTATGTGAATCATAACAAATTATGGATAATACTGAGAAGAATGGGAATTCCAGAACACTTAAGTTGTGCTCATGAGGAACCTGTACATAGACCAGGAGGCTGTCCTTTGAACAGAACAAGGAGATAATGCCTGATTTTAAATCAGGAAGGGTGTGCATCAGGGTTGTATCCTTTCACCACACTTATTCAGTCTGTATGCTGAGGAAATAATCCAAGAAGCTGGATTATATGAAGAATAAGGCATAGGATTAGAGGAAGACTCATTAACAACCTAGGCATATGACACAACCTTGCTTGCTGAAACTGAAGGTAACTTGAAGCACTTACTGATGAAGATTAAAGACTACAGTCTGCAGTATGGAATACAGCTCAATATTAAGAAACAAAAATCCTACCATTAACCAATAAGCACCATCATAAATGAAGAAAAAGATTGTGCTTGTCAAAGATTTCATTTTCTTGGATCTACAAACAATGACCATGAAAGGAGCAGTCCAGAAATCAAATGAGATATTGCCCTGGGCAAATCCGCTGCAAAAGACCTCTTTCAACTGTTTAAAAGCAAAGATGTCACTTTGAGGACTAAGGTGTGCCTGACCCAAGCCATGGTATTTTCAATCACGTCACACGCGTGTGAAAACTGGACAATGAATAAGGACGGCCACAAAAGAATTGATGCATTTGAATTGTGGTGTTGGCAAAGAATATTGAATATACCATGGACCACCAGAAGAATGAACCAATCTGTCTTGGAAGAAGTATAGCCAGAATGCTCTTTAAAAGCAAGGATGGTGAGACTTCGTCTGAGGTTCTTTGGACAAGATATCAGGAGGGAACAGTTCTTGAAGGCCATCATGCTTTGTGGAGGGTCAGCAAAAAAGGGAACAACCCTCAAGGAGGTGGACTGACACAGTGTTTGCAACAGTGGGTTCAAACACGGCAAGGATGGTGAGGATGAAGCAGAACTGGGCAGTGTTTTGGTTTATTGCACGTAAGGTGGCTATGAGGCAGGGCCGGCTCCACAGCATCTAACAAACAACTCTGTAGTCCCCCTTCAAGGCTGTAATGTTCTGCAAGTACTGACGTGGGGCCTGAGAACCAGGTGATTCCTGGGGCGTGCAGATGCCGGCTTCTTCCTCCTCCTGGTCGCAGAACCCACTGTGCATCAGCTCCTAGGCAACGTTGGCTCATTTTCGAGGGTAGCCAAGTCCCAGGAGACCTCACCATGGGACTGAGCTGTGCCTGGAATGTGCCTGCCTTGGGGCAATTCCTCCGCTGGAGGGTAGTGAAGAGCCGGCATCAAAGCCTGCAGGTTCCTGGCCAGGGCTTCCGCAGCATCTCGATTGAGTTTTGCAGGGTCCCTTAACCCGGCGGGTGCTCCAACCGCCGCCGCGCAACTCACAGCGGCGGAAGGTCAGCGACCGCGGTGCACGAAGCGCCTGCGGCCAGGCTGTTCGCACTGCAGCACCCGAGGCCTGGTGCGCAGCTCCTGCTCACCTCGTCCGCCGCCACACCCTAGCCTCGATAAAGCGCAAATCCGACCAACCCCCGCCTAGCGCTCGGTCAGCTCCCAGACTAGCAGGCGCGCCTTCCAATCAGTGAAGGATACGTGGTGGGCGGGGAAGGCCAGAGGCGGGGGGGGGGGAGGCGGTCATTCAGAGTTTATCGCGAAAAAGGAAGCTGACAGTGGACCTGGATAGGCACTGGATTGGTGGAGGCCATGTCATCAGGACCAATAGGGTGATTGAGTGCGCCTCTTCCGCTGGGTCCTTGCTGTCTGAGAGGAACGGGATCCACCGCCCTCCTTTCCCTCTATGCCACTCAGTGGCGGGAGCGGAGGCAGTTGGTTTCTGCTGTGGATGAGTTGCTTCCATTGGAGGCCATTCATTGGCCAGAGATAGTGTCAATTCCCGAGAGCGCGAAATTCCCCTTTTTACCGTGGGAAGATCCTGCCTGCCAAGAGAGTGAGCTAACGCCATCTTCGCAGCTCTTGCAGATCCCGGTGTGGCCGTCGCAGGCTCGGTTGCGGTGGACTCTCTTCTTCTGTGAGTGATCTTCTGGGCCTAGGACAGACGTGAGTTCTTGGACACTAGACAGGAAGATCTCTGCCTGGGCAGCTGCCCAGTGGGGGGGGGGGAAACCCTCCACTGTGAAGCTGCCCAGCTTCAGAGATCATCTGGGAGTAATAGAGTTTACAGGTGAAAATGACCCTTCCAGGGAGCCTAGGCAGCTGTTCCAACCAATGCGTAGGACACATTTAGGGGAAGGGCATTGTTAAACATGCAAATGCCCCAACTGCACCCTAAAACTAAAAACTACTTACAAACATTTATCTGAGATGTTAAGGAGTACCCACTGCAGATCTCTGGCACTCCCATCTGTCTGTGTAGCTGTACTTCTCTCTAGTTCTCTGCTCTGAAAACTTACACCACATTGGTCTTTCCAGACTCACAGTGTGACTTCTCAAGTCGAGGGGACTACTGTATTGCGTGTGTTTTGTTTCTTCTCCAAGATATGGTCTGACACTCTTAAGGTAGTAAGCTGAGGTGATGGTAGGGCGTGCATCCCTCTCAGAAATCAAGAATTCATGGTCCTGTGCTGCCTCATGTCTACTGTTTGAAAGTTGCTATTTCTTATATTTTGCTTTTTTGTTGTTTGTTTAGTTATTTCAGGTGGGAGAGTAAATCCAATCATTGTTTCTACAACTTGGACAGAAGTAGAAGTCAGATATATTCTCTTTGAACTCATCATGAATTTCATAAAGACTGAAGAGAACAAGTCATTCCATGTTACAGAAAATGACCAGGGTTCCAGAACTGAAGTTTCAGTGGTATGTCTTTTTTTTAACCCCTCATGAGAGCAACACTGTAACCATAGCACTATATTAGGTTATTTGGAAGAAGAGAAGTTCACAAAGAATGGTAATTATTGTCCTTTTTCTTGTGTTGTTTAGAAAATATTTAGGAAGATCATAAATACAAACACTTATAGAAAACAAAATGATATTGTACAAGTTAAGTAGCCATGGAAAATGTGTTTTCAAATAACAAAACTAGTGAACAGTAGAGATACTTTATATCATTGGGAGAATATACAGACAAGAATAATAATATAGTTGATATTTAGTGAGAAATTACTCTGTACATGGAATTATGGTTGTCACATGTGGATTACTCATTTAACATTTAATGAAACCCTGTGCAATGGATATCATCATCTTGACTTCGGAGATGAAGAAACTGAAACTGAACTTGCTTAAAGTGAAAAAAAGTAATAGACTTCAGAGAAAATATTTGAACTGAGACTATCAGATGTCAGAGTCCAGGCTTTTGACCAGCACACCATTTACTCCATATACAAATGATATTATTAAAGTGAGATACAAACAAGGGCTTTTTGAGTGCAGAGAGAAGAAAGCTTAATTTAGAATCAAGAAATTAGAACTGTAGCATATGAGAAAGATCTTAAAAATGATTAAGATTTCATCAACACCTTAACAGAGGAGCTCTGGAGGCACAGTGCCTAGGGCATTTGAATGCTAACCAGAAGGCTGGTGGTTCAAACCTACCAGCTGCTCCACAGAAGGAAAATGGGGCAATCTACTTCTGTAAAGGTTTACCGCATTGGAAACCCAATGGGGGCCGCTATGAGTTGGAATCGACTGGATAGCAGTGAATTTGGTTGGTTAACATCTTAACAACAAAAAGACAAATAACCTAGTTAAAAAATGGGCAGAAGACATGAATAGACACTTTACCAAAGAAGACATTCAGGCAGCTAACAAACACATGAAGAGAAGCTGGTGATCGTTAGCCATTAGAGATACGGAAATCAGAACAACCATGAGATGTCATCCTACCCCAGCACTAATAGCAAAGTTCAATATGAGTAAATACATGCTGGCACGGATGTGGAAAGACTGGAATCCTCATACAGTGTTGGTGGGGCTGTGAAGTGGTACACCATGTCTGGAAAACAGTACGGCACTTCCTCAAAAAGCGGGGAAAAGAAATACCATATGATGCAGCAATCTCACTATTAGGTACATATCCTAAAGGAATTAGAGCCATGACAAGAAAAAATAGACGCACACCTGTGTTCATTGTAGCACTGTTCACAACAGCAAAAAGATGGAAACAACTTAAATGCTCATCAATGGAGGACAAACATAGAGGCCCTGTTTTATGGCATAAATAGACTGTCAAATATAACCACAGATGCACAAACAGCATAAGATAAATGAGATGACTGGGTCCTTCTATAAATCAGATTCTTACGTGCATCAAAAAACTTCTCCAAAAGTAAAAAGAGAACCTACAGATTAGAAAAGAATATTTGACAGTGACATATCCAACAAAGGACTTACGTATAAAATTTATAGACAATCCGGCACCTCAACATCAAAAAGACAAACAGTCCAATTGAACAATGGATGGAGAATATGAACAGACACTTTACCAAAGAAGATATTCAGGCAGCCAACAAACACATGAAGAAATGCTCATAATCATTAGCCATTAGAGAGATGCAACTCAAAACAGCAATGAGATACCATCCCACCAATACCATCTATTATTGTTATTATTAACAATAATAGCAAAGTTCAACAAGTCAGAAAACAATAAATGCTGGCAAGGGTATGAAGACATTGGGACTCTCATACACTGCTGGTGAAATGGCAAAATGGTACAACCACTGTGGAAAATAGTACTTCCTTAAAAAGTTGAAAATAGAAACACCATTTAATCCGCAGTCCCATTACTAAGTATATACCCTAAATAACTGAGAGTTGGAACACAAACAGATAATATGCATAGTAGTGCCTAAGGCATTTGACAGTGAACCAGAAGGCTGGTGGTTCAAACCCACTAGCCACTCTTCAGAAGGAAAGTTGGGCAATCTACTTCCAAAGTGATAATGCCTTGGAAACTCAAGGAGGGCTCGCTATGAGTTGAAGTCAACTTGACGGCAGTGACTGTGGGTTTTTTGTTTGTTTGTTTGTTTTTGTTCATAGCACTATTCACAATAGCAAAGAGATGGAAACAAGCTAAGTGCTCGTCAACAAATGACTGGATAACCAAACTATGGTACATATATACAATGGAATACTATGCAACATTAAATAATAATGAAGAGTCCATGAGACACCTCATAATGTGGGTTAACTTGGAGGACATTTTGCTGAGTGAAATAAGTAAGTCACAGGTTGAATATCATATAAGTCCATTATTATAAAAAGACAAGTAAAGGTTTACATACAGGAAGAAACATTGTTTTATGGTTACCAGCAAGGGGAGGGGATGAGAGGGAAAATTACTAAATACATAACAGACACATATTAATTTGGGTGAAGGGAAAGGCAATATAGAAAGAGTGGATGGTCAGCTTAATATCACTAGGGAAAAAGAAGACATGGAGAGATATAGAACAGTTGCAGATAACAGAGGTAAACACAATTACATAGGCTATTCCATAAGCAATCTACAACTGGATACATAGGTAGACCAGCAACATGATTAGGTATAGGTAGATGAACAGGACTATACCCATGGCCATATATAGGTTTGGCAGATGATATTTCTGCATACATATATATGTATGTGCTGTAAAAATGTCCATGTATATATTTGAGTGAACAGAGAACAAAGTTAAGAAAACTTCTTAGCCATAACCAAACTCTTTGAGAGAGTGGGTCACTGGGCCTGTGAGCTCAGGACCATAGTATAATTGTGGGAGACATGATGTCAACTGGCATAACATAGTCCATAAAGACATTGTTCTACATGCTGCTTTGGTGAGTCGCAACTGGGATCTTAACAACTTGTGAGCAGCCACCTTCGCTGCAACTATTTCTCTCTCCTTATCTGGAGCAAAGAAGATTGAAGAAAATCAAGAATGTGTGGAAACAGTTAGTCCAGGGGATCAGTAGACCATATGAACCTCAGCCTCCATGACCCTGAGACCAGAAGAACTAGGTGGTGCTAGGCTACCACTGCCCCACTCTGAAAGGAATCGCAATATGAGATCCTGGGTAGAGTGGGATAAAAATGTGGAACAAGTCTCAATAAAAAGACCATACTTAGTCTGATAGAGACCAGCGGAACCTGAGACTGTAGCCCTTAGTCACCCTTCAAGCCTGGAACTGAACTCACTCCCATGGCTCGACTTTTAGTCAGACAGGTGTATGAGGTGAACAGTAACACTGTGGAGGCATGTACTAACAACAGTCAAACATAAGAGATCAAAAGGGCAATATTTGCTTAGGGTTAAAGCTTAGAAAGCGGGAATAGTTAGGAAAGAAGGACAAAGGGCAATGGTAGTCACAGGAGGAAGTAGGAAGAGTGCTGTTCCATTGAGGGGATTATAATCAGTGTCACACAATAAGATGTATATAAACTGTTGAACGGAAAACAAATTTACTCTGTAAACTTTTACCCAAATCACACAAAAAAGTTAGTAAGATGTTCATGAGTAGGAAAACTCAATACTATTAAAATGTCCGTCCTTCTCACATTTATATATGTATTGATTCAGTGAAATCCAAATCTCAATCAAGGTTATTTTTGTGGCTGACTAGAATTTATTGGAAACAAAAAAAAAAACTCATACAAACAAAGAGCTAGTATCTTAAATATTCTCAAGAATAAAGACTAAGGCAAGATAATTTGTCCTACCAGGTATGAATGCTTATTATAGCTTATATAGACCTTTGAATAATGGTGCTGGGAAAGAATATTGAATATACCATGGATGCCCAGAAGAACAACAGATCTCTCTTAGAAGAAGTATAGCCAGAATGCTCTTTAGAAGCAAGGATACCTAGACTTTGTCTCATACTTTGGTCATGTTGTCAGGAGAGACCGGTCTGTGGAAAAGGATACCATGCTTGGAAAAGTAGAGGATCAGTGAAAAAGAGGAAGATCCTTAGGGGGATGTATTGGCTGCAGCAGTGGACCCAAGCATAGCAATGATTATGAGGATGGCTCAGGACCAGGCAGGGTTTCATTTTGTTGTACACAGGGTTGTTGTGAATTGGAATTGATGGCACCTAACGATAACAACAACATTAGCCAAAAGTTTGGTAGCTTGATTCCAACCAGAAATGGCTTGGAAGATAGACCTGGTGAACTGCTACAGAAAGGACATTGCCATCAAAACGCTATGGAGTAGTGCTAGTCTGTACACATGGTGTCATCGTGTCAACTTGATGTCAACTAACCATAGCAACAACAACAAATTTAAGACATTATTTGGTACAGATACAGAAAAATACACCATTGGAACAGAATAGTGAGAATAGAGATGGACCCACAAATTATAATGGCGAAGCTGACAATATAGATCCATGGTGAAAGGATGAATGTTTAAATTAGTAGTGCTGAGACAATTATAGTTATCCATGTGGGAAAAGTAAAATTGAAAAGTGTGATCTCAGACCACATACAAGCAAAATGATTCCAGATGGCTTAAAGACTTGAATGGGAAAAGCAAGCTGTTAACTTTAAAAAAAGAGAGAGAGGTACTTGACTGCTAACCAGAAGGCTGGCGGTTCAAAACCACCAGCCACTCCCTGGAAGGAAGATGGGGCAATGTACTTCCATAGTGATACTGCCTCGGAAACCCAAGGAGGGGTCGCTGTGAGTTGGGTCCAACTTGACGGCACATAACAACAACAACATACATGATATTATTATGATATAAAAAGATTAATAAATTTGACAACATTGAAGTTAAGAAATTCTATTCTTAAATAACACCCAAAGATAGTGGAAAAAGTAAGCCATAAACTTAGAGAATATGTTTAACACAAATAATAAATAATGTCTAAAATATATTAAGTTCTTCTAGAGTTAAAAAGAAAGACAATCCAGTAGAGAGTGGGAAAAAGATATGAACAGGTATTTTGTAGGGCATAAAAATGAAAAAAGGTTCAACCCATTGGTAATTAGGAATTACTGTTTACACCACCAATGAGATGCCATTCCACACCATAAGATTTGCAAACACCAATAGTTGGATAATAGAAGTTTTAATAAGCATGTGGAGTAATGGGAACTCTCATTTCCCACTGGAAGGAGTACCCCTTGGTACTACCATTTTGCAAAATGATTTGGCAGTATAAAATAAAATGAGTATGTAACAAAAAAAAAAAAAACCCAAACTCATTGCTGTTGAGTCGGATCCGAGTTACAGAGACCCCCTCCTTGGGTTTCCAAGGCAGTATCACTATGGAAGTAGATTGCCCCATCTTCCTTCTGAGGAGTGGCTGGTGAGCTTGAACCACTAGCCTTCTGGTTAGCCTTGTTTGCTGAAAGCAAAGAAGACTTGAAGCACTTAAGGATGAAGATCAAAGACTGCAGCCTTCGGTATGAATCACACATCAACATAAAGAAAACAAAAATCTGAACTAATAAGCAACATCATGATAAACAGAGAAAAGAATGAAGTTGTCAAAGATATCATTTTGCTTGGATCCGCAATCATTGCCCATGGAAGGAGCAGTAAAGAAATCAAGTGACACAGTGCACTGGGCAAATATGCTGCAAAAGACCTCTTTAAAGTGCTGAAGAGCAAATATCTCTTTGAAGACTAAAGTGTGCCTGACCAAAGCCATGATATTTTCAATAGCCTCATGTGCAAGTGAGAGTTGGACAATGAATATGGAATATGGAAGATCTCAGAAGAATCCATGCATTTGAATTGTGTTGGTGAAGAATATTGAAAATACCATGGGCTGCCAGAAGAACAAACAAAGCAGTCTTAGAAGAAGTGAAGCCAGAATGCTCCTTAGAAGTAAGAATGGCCAGACTTCATTTCTTATACTTTAGTCATTGTGATAGTTAAGGGTCTGTGTCAACTTGCCTTGGCTGTGATTTTGAGTGGCTTGGCAGCTGGATGTAGTTATTCCCCACAATGAGATTGAATGTGGTGTAATCACTTCCATGCTGGAATCTGCTTTGAGAGCTAATCAGTTGGAAGAGAGTTGCCTACAGGGTGTGGCCTGCTTCTAGTACATATGGAAGGGATCTTGCATTTGGTTCAGTCTTCATCTCCAGTTCCTGGATTTGGTCTGTACCCTGCTATACTGCCTGCCATCTTGCCTTCCAATCTTGGGATTGTTGCCTTTGCAGCCTATGCGCCAGTGGGCCTGGATGGCAGAGCTGAAGCTCAAGGTCTAGGGGCTAGAACCAGCCATTGAACTTGGACTTCTAGCCTAGTCTTCTGCTAGAGCCAGCATTCTGAATTTGGGCTTCTAGCCTCCTAAACTATAAGAGAATAAATTTCTGTTTGTTAAAGCCATCCACTTGTGGTATTTCTGTTGTAGCAGCACTAGAGAATTAATCATGTTATCAGAAGGGACTAGTCCCTAGAGGAGGATATCATGCTTGGTAAGGTAGGTCAGCAAACAAGGGGTAGACCTTCAGAGAGATGGATTGACCCGGTGGCTGCAGCGATGGACTCAAGCATAGTAACAGTTGTGAAGGTGGCACAGGACCAGGCAGTTTTGTTCTGTTGTACTTGATGGTACAAGGATAGCAAGGATTGTGAGGCTGGTGCAGGAATGGGCAGCATTTCATTCAGTTGTACATAGGGTCTCTGTGAGTCAGAGCCAACTTGATGGCACCAAACAACACCAACCAACAACATGTACACAAAATTGAATATCTTGTGATATATTAGTCATTTTGGTATATTTATTTATATTTAGTGCTGTTGAAACCTTGTACAGAATATGAATTAAACAGATATTTAACAGGAATCGTTTAAAGGTGATGCTTCATACATTCTTAAGATGTATTAAATATGGTTAGCTTTACTGGTAAGTAAATAGATGAAACTTACAAAGCATTTAAATGAGATGGCATTTCACCTATCAGTCAACAAACATTAAAATAAAAATAATGAAAATTTTTCGAGCAGTCATTGATATAGTTGGTCTCCTTGGGGAGCAGGAGACAAGGGCAATGTGAATTGATCCAATGTTTCAGGAAAGCAGTTTGGCCGTATGTCTTAGGTGAGATACGTTCATATCCTTAGTCTCAGTATTTTTACTTCTGGGAATCGGGCTTAGAGAAATATTCAGATATGTAGACGAAGCTTTAAATGTATAAGAATATTTGTCATTTTATTTAAAGTAGTGAAAAAAATGGAACCTATCTAAATACCCAAATCGGAAGAATGAATTAAAAATTATTGTATAGTGGATTATTAATGGTTCCTCAGATGGTGTTTTAAAAGGTTATTAATGACTTGTGGGATCACTGAGAGAGTGAAAACTGAAAAGTATCTCAGATACAGCATAATATCATTAGATTTTTTTTATATCTGCATATAAAATAATAGAACCAAATAAAACATAATGTATCATTATCATCTCTGGTGATGGAATAATTATGGATTTTTTCATCAATAATACCTATTTTTGTCCAGTTTTTGTTCAGAGGACCTATTACTTTCATAAAAATATGAAACATTATTAGAGGTGATTATTGTTACAGATGCTTCTGATTAAAATTTTAATCTTTCCCTTTTAAGGATGCTGTCATGAAGCCGACAAGTTCTGGCACGCTGGATGGGCATTTGCTACCTGACCTAAGAGAATGTAGCAGTGCTTCTGTGCTTGGAAATGAAGTCAGTAAGCATGAAACATCCCTTAAAATTCTGAACCGAAATTTGAACATCAAGGAAAAATGTCATTTCACCTTTACTTTGAATAGAAGGTTCAAGAAATTTGATCATAGTGAGTTTACAGCATATGGTAAACCCAATGAAAGTATTTTCTCAGCTCTGATAGCTAATGAGAATCTCATGGAAACTTGTTCTAATAGGAACATTATTGTTTATGCAGAAAAAGAAATCAGAGGATATGTAAATTTAGGAATGCCTCTCAAATGCCTGCCTAAAGATTCGCATTTAAAAGTAATACTTAGTCAAAGAAAGAGTAGCCAGCAAGAAGATGATCAGATATTACGTCATTGTGAAAACCCAGATCTTAATTGCATTCTTTTTAACATTGTTGCTGTTGGGAAGACGATAAAGAAAATACTTAAGGTCAAGGAACTTCATGAAATAGGAAGTACAATTTGTGTCTATGCCTTGGAGGGTGAAACTGTCAAAGAAGCTCTCTATAAAGATGGCAGATTTCGTTCTGACCTCAGTGAACTTGATTGGAAACTAATGGAAGGTCATAACAAAATTCATAGAAAAGAGTCCCTGGTGGATGATATATCTGGAAAGACCTTAGACATGGTCATTTTAAAAAAAAAATCTGTCAGAAAAATTATTCATGAAAATCCTAAACAAAAGAACGAAAATGTCACTGATAAAATCAGTCCCTGTGATCTGATAAAGTCTGAAAGCAAGGTCCAGGACTCAGACAGAGGTAGAGAGACCGAAGGTGTAGAACACAAGAGAAAAAAAAAAATTCCACCCCAAAGTCTAAGGCGTGATATTGAAAAGAAAAACTATCGGACAAAGTTAAGTATTATTTTTTACTATGATCTTCTGAAAAAATATAAGAAACTAAAGTCACAGGTTAGACAAAGGCCATATCTGAGTAGGCACAACATTACTTATCAAGGTATCCATGAGGATGCAATTAATCTCTGGCTAAGGAACTCCACAAAATTGAGCAGTACTATAGTGCAGCAATATCCAAATTTTAAAGAAGTTCCACTTTGGCTGGGAAAGTGTTTTGAGGAAGAACGAAAGAGTCAAAAAGTGTCACCATTGGAGCAATTCAGCATATATGAAAAGAACTTTGGAAAAGAGTCTGCAAATTCTAATTCAGTTGCAACCTATGAATGTCTTATTCCTCTTAGTAAGTCAGTTGGGTTCATGACATGGAACAATATAAATACTGGCAATAGTACTTGCTTTAGCTTAAAGGATGGTTATATTTTGACCTGTCTACATGTTGTGCATTTTATTGTGGGAGAAGGCACACATCCAAGTTTGTGGCCTGATACAATAAGTAAGTGTGCAAAGGTAACTTTCAATTACCAAGAGTTTTGCCCTGCTTACCACAATTGGTTTTTTTTAGAGCCGTGGTGTGAAATATATGATGGAACTCTAGATTATGTCATTTTAAAACTCAAAAAGAATGGAAATGCATTTCCTCCAGGCCTGTGTGGACAAATTGCTCCTCAACCATCTAGTGGTTTGATTTATTTAATAGGTCACCCAGATGGCCAGATTAAGAAAATAGATGATTGTGCTGTGATTCCTGTAAATCAGCGGTTCAGGAAGTATTCAAAGCATCAAGATGGGCTAGCAGAAATCAGTGTTGCCACTTATAATGCTTGCCCTATATTTACCAGAAGAACTTTCCTGTCACACATTGATAGCACTGCCACACTTAGTTATGACACTTGTTTCTCCAGTGGGTCCTCTGGCTCCCCAGTGTTTACTGCGTCTGGCAAGTTGGTTGCTATGCATGCCTTTGGGCATTTTTATGAACATTTAGGTAAGGTTTATGCTCTTATTGAATATGGCTACTCTATGGTTTCTATCATGTGTGATATTAAAGAGAAAGATGAGACATTTTATAAGTTGTTATATGAAGAGAAAAATGAGAATCACAATGAAGAAAAAAATGAGAAACAAGAGTCATTGCTTCAGGATCCTCAGATTGAACCCATGGAATGGGTGTAATGCTCACAAAGTAAATCAAATATGGCAGAGATGTAGGGTTGATGTTTAAAATGTGGTATTCTTCAGTGCCAATAGGAGAGATCCATATTGTATCATAGTTGTTTACTTATAAATCCATTCAAGGGCTTATAGTACTATTCAAGAGATGGGTCTCCTTTCTAAATTCCTACCTTTTGAAAAACGGGCTCAAGTCCTACTCTCAGCATTTGACTCATTCTTTCTGTACCAGATCATGTTTTAGGATTTACTGAAACTAAAGCAATCATACAACAAAGTTTAGGTTTAACTTTAACCAAAATATATTTTTGGATATTTTCATAAAGCTATGCCTCCCCCTCGCCCCCAGTAAAATTCTGGGAGCCCAATACTTTTCCTGCTACAATCTTTAATCACTCATTAAAGATTCCAGATCACCTGATGGCTGTTGATGCAACTGAATCTCCACATAAGATTATTGATGGGTATTTGTGGTGTAGAAAATTACCTGGTATGGCTTTTCTAGCCATAAGTCTTTGTAAACTCCATGGTGGAATTTGCTGTGAGCAACTGAGGAACTCCTCATTGTTAAAGTTATCCACCTGGAGTATTTCTGTTGAGAGTGGTACAAAGCAATGTTCTGGGAAGTTCTCTCTCTCTCAGGTATATAGAATTCCTGATGTTATGATTGGTTAGTTTGGCCACTTTGCCAGGCTCAAAAGGAGCCCTCCTAGAGGCAGAAAGAGTCTCTCTGACTGCTGGCTGAGAAAGGTGTGCTGCTGAGAGAAACGGGCTCCTGAGAGACATGTGCTACTGAGAAAGAGACACCGAGACACGTGTTGCTGAGAGAGATACCGAGAGACATGCCCTGCTGGGGAGAGACTGAAAGAGACTGTGAGTTCTGAGTGGCCACTGCAGTGAATTATCGAACCCAGCAGAAAGGTGGTGGGTGCTGCAGGAGGAATGGTTGGTGTCAATGGGGTGAAAGGGCTGAAGGGAGGTAGCATGTCTGGCCTCACAGGAATAGGCCTTGGGCTATTGATGGTGATTCTGTCTTCCTCTTGTGGGGTTAGAGGAGATCAGAAGATGCGGCCTCCTTGCATCTTTAGCAGTACTCTAATTGGGTGAATCAGATGCTCAACTTATTTTTTAAAAAAATAGCAGGCAGATGAAGCCCAGTACCAGTACTAAGTATATTGGTCATATGTCACTGTTTGAGGTTGCCAGCTACATGACCTCTGCTGCCATTTCTCTGGACCAGAAATGGGTCTCACCAGATGGGCCAGACAAAAAATGGTTCCCAGTGACTATAATAAAATTCATTCTCCACTTTAATTTTAGTTATAACTTATCATTGGGATGAGTAGAAATCAGACACACAGGCCCTGGGATCTTACTACACCAAGCACATCAGAATTTGGGTTCTATAGTTGCAATGTTCACTTCTGTCCTAGCATTTCTGAAACCCACCTGGTTCATTCCTGCATTATAGCACATAGGTTATAAGTCTGATTACTTCTCTTTCTCACCTACTAGGTTGTAAGTTCTTAGATGCTGATGATGTTAACTCCTTTTTGTATCCCAGTGCTTAACACTATACCTGGCACACATAAAAATTCCCCAAAAAATATTGACTAAAACATTTTTTTTATAATCTCACACACACACGAGTTATTCTCCAGTTAGATGATATACTAGGTCAGAATACAAATCTCAGTAAGTGTAATGCAATTTTACATAGTATCTTCTCCAAACTCAAGGAAATAATACTAGAAATTAATAGCAAAAGTAAAACTGGAAAACAGCAAATGATGTAGAAATTAAACAACACATTATTAAATAACAAAAAGGTCAAGGAAGAAATGAAGAAATAGCTAAAATAAATAAACAAACAAACAAACAAACAAACACTTGGAGTTGAACAAAATGAAAACACAACATACCAAAATCTATGGGATGCAGCAAAGGCAATCCTCAGAAGGTAATTTATAGCAATAACTGCCTACATTAAAAAATAAGAAAAATCTCAAGTCAATAGTCTAACTCTACAGCTTAAGTAACTAGGAAAAGAAGAACATGCTAAGCCTAAAGCTATCAGAAGAAATGAAATAACATCAGAGCAGAAATAAATGAGATAGAAAAACGGTAGAGAGAATCACCCAAACCAGAAGTTGGTTTGCTGAAAAGATCAATAAAATTGACAAATTGACTGACAAAGGAGAAAAGGTGTAAATATCCAAAATATAAAGTGAAAGTGAAGACAGTACAACTGACCCCACAGAACTGAAAACTAAACCAAACCCAAACCTACTGCCATCGAGTGAATTCTGACTCATAGTGACCCTATAGAACAAAGTAGAACTGCCTTATAGGGTTTCCAAGGCTAGAAGTCTTTACAGAAGCTGACTGCCTCATCTTTCACCCACAGAGCAGCTGGTGGGTTTGAACTGCTGACCTTTTGGTTAGAAGCCCAGTGTTTTTCTCAGAGAGGGTTCAAAACTGGAGATCCTGGATAGAGTGGGAAGAAAAATGTGAAACAAAATTCAAAAACACAAAAATGACCAGAATTACTGGACAGATGGAGACTGGTGGAACCCCTGAGACTATGGCTCTGGGTTACCCTTTGGGCCTAGAAATGGACTTACTCCCATGGATTGGCTCTCAGCCCAACAGTAGAAAGACCTACTTGCAGAACATCTACCCCATGGCGATGCTCCT